GATGGCAAAACGGGGATCCGATTCAATTGACGTTGAAGTCGATAACTCGTCTAGAGCTCTCTCGTGCCACTTCTTTCAACAAAAATGGCTAGATGACCAGTAAAAAATAAACCTAAATCGCAAAAGTTATTTATTTTATATATGTGTGGAATGAGCATAATCTAAATCCTACTTTTTGCTCATTGACGAGTTATAGCTAAGGGTTTTTATAAATATTTATAATGAAACGTTGCTGGGCAAAACTACTAGAAAATTGACACTTTATAATAGTTACTCCCTATGTTGTTAATCTCGATTCGTTCGTAGAACGAATTAGTATCCTTTTCCGCCTTCCAAAACCGTTTCCCTGTGTGAAGAAGCTGTAACTATTTTATGTAGATAATTTGATAATCTTAATGATTTGCACAAGACAATCACTTCCGCCTCATCAGATATCAAATCACTTGGCATTCTTCAATAACATTGCATCCCCATCATTGTTCGTTTCATTTCAACCCTTTTCCTGTACACTACAACTCAAAGATGCAATTATAAGCACACTTTGGGATAAACCACAATGTTGTGGTTATGAAGCACGTATCAAGATGAATACAAAACATCAGTTGGGCAAATTTCAATATTGTGACATACAAACAAACTGTAACAATTTGCATTATTTCCATAGAATTTAATATTCTGAGAGTAATGCGACATGAGTAAGTAAATTATGTTTGTTCAACACCTATTGGAATTGAAAGTGTTTCGAATGTGTGTCTATTTAAGGTTCTTTAATTTCCCATAAAAAAGGCCATTTATGTATCCCTTTAACCACAAATATTGTCAACCACAAATGTGGTCACATTTACAAATGGTGACAAGAACGATGTTTGTAAAGTAAATGCCATTTGGGTAGGCCTCCACATTTTTTTAAGATTTTGTAGTGCAAAAGCTATGAGGGAAGATTTTAAAATGAAAAATCAAAACGTTTAATGCCATCTAAAAGGAGAGGGGACCTCCAGCACTGTAATGAGCCTACCAACGAATACAGTAGCTAGGTGTGAATATGTTATGACAAAGGATAACGTTTAAATGTTCACTGAAAATGGGCCAATATCAATCAGATACATCTTCAAACGAAGTGTATATGGAATTTTAGATGAGAGCGCTGCATGCCTTATCTCTCCCAAAAATTGGAGATAATGAATATTGATATTTATACCCTACACCACAAGGTGGTCAGGTATTATGTCTTTGTGCATTTGTAAGAGGCAAAAGGAAACGAGGTAGACCATAGTTTCTTTTGATGATCTGCATGCCCGTCCGGCTGTCTGTCAATGTATTTTTGTAAACAAAGTACAGGTCACATTTATTGCCCGATCCAGATGAAATTTTGCATAAGTCATTTGTTTGGCCCAAGAAACCCTATTGAAATTGAAGATATAGAACTCATATATATCTTAGTCCGATTTTATCGAGATCGGTTCAGATTTGGATAAAGCTCCCATATATATCTTCATCCGATTTGTCTTTTATTATGTACCATACGTGTAATATTAGCCCAAATGGGATGGAATTTGGCACTTACGACCAAATTGAGCCTAGAAACAAATAAGTCAAATTTGGTGATGATCCTGCTTTGTTCAGAAACACCTGAAATTGTTTGACAATTTTTATTCATGGATCTGCTGATGGACTCACCCAAGAGGTCGGCTGAAGGTTAACATTTCAGAATTACGGTGGTGCAAGTGTTCTGGAAGACATTTTTTAAACTTCCAATATTCCATCATTAAAGGGTTTTGCATCGGTTCGAATACAAAGCTACGACTTTCTGGAAACAATTATAGTTGCCTAGTCAGGAAAAATATATCTATCGATAAATAAATTCTCTACAAGAAATTATCAAGCTTCCAAACCGAAACATGCGGTTCAAATGTTGTCTTCATTATTCCAATATCATCACAAATCCAAATGTTTTATTCAAGCAACTGTAATTTAAGTGTTCAGACGATAATCCAGGTATCCCTAGATATGGGTCATATATTTGCTATTTAACATCACCATACTCCTCCACCTTGAAAAGGAGGGCATATTAACATTGTCATTCCGTTTGTAACTTCCCGAAATATTCGTCGTAGACCTCATAAAGTATAAATATTCATGGTCAGCATAAAATTCTAAGTCGATTTAACGACAGACGGACTGTTGAAATCACGATACAGTCCACATTATTTGACGCTGAGCTTTAAAATTTGGCACAACAATTTGTATTGTGTCTAGGATGGTTGGTATTGAAAATGAGATATATTGTTCCACGTTTTGGTATAGCCGCCACATAACGGTACCTCCCGATATTCGGTATTTTGATGATTTTTGCCACATTTTCCACGGATTTGTCTAAAAATTGCTATTTGTAGGTCATAATGGGTTCTAGCTCCGGTGGCGAAACATTGTATGCATAGGTCTACCTATTTTGTATAGCCCCCATATAAGGGTACCTCCCGATATTTGATATTTTGATGATTTTTGCCACATTTTTCCACGGATTGGAATATTGCTATTTGTAGGTCATAATGGGTTCTAGCTCCGGAGGCGAAACATTGTATTAATAGGTCCACATTTTCATATGGCTCCCATTTTTTCACTTTTTTGTCTAAAAATTGGTATTTGTAGGTCATAATGAATTCTAGCTCCGGTGGCAAAATATTGTATGTATAGGTCCACGTTGTTGTATAGCCCCATATAACGACACCTCCCCATTTTCGGTATTTTCATGATTTTTTCCACATTTTTTTTGACGGATTTGTCTAAAACTTGGTATTTGTAAGTCATAATGGGTTCTAGGTGCAGTGGGCGAAACATTGAAGATTTAGGTCCACGTTTTCCTAAAACGCACCGACCGATATTCGGTATTTTAATAATCCCAGTCACCTTTACCCACGAATTTGTTTCAAATTTGGTATTTAAGAAGATTTGGTAGATGACAATGCTTGAAGTATAAATTGTCTATAAGGTTCCCGTTCTGGTATGGCCCGCTGTAAAGGCTTCACCCACTTTTTTGAAAAGTTTAACTGCATTATCCGTTTGAATCAGATACTTTTTTATAAAATGGTTTCTTTACCCAATTGTGGAGGGTATTAAACGTTCGGCCCGACTGAACTTATTGTTTTACTTGTTTTATCTACTTTAATCAAAAAAATTGGGTAAAGTTTTAAAGACCTGTGAAAAGTCTATTTGAATTACTGAGAAACCGATGTCAGGCTATGAATACCTAGAGCCATGGTAGAATTACAAGGTAACCCTTTCAGGCCAGCTGGTATCAATTTGATATGTCAAAAAATTGTTGTAATTTGAATTCGCCTTCATTTACACATAAGAAAATTGTTGCATGATTTCAAACTTTAACAATGCTATTGATAGAAAATCGAGATTTTACGTTTTTATAGAGTATGAGGGAAAAAGTGTATATTCAACATATGGTAGGCATAGGTAATATGGAGATCTAAAATTCGTGGATATTTGAAATAAGTGAAACAGGGAATCAATTTCATTTAGTAAATAAACCGATACATGGAATTTCATCATCTTATTTGTACGGATTTTCAACTATGTTATACACTATAGGGCTTCAACAGTGAAATGTGAATGATTCCAAAGCATATTGGATTGGTTTGGGGAACAAAATATGGCAATTTTTGGGGGTGTGATTAAATATTGAGATAATTTTTTTATTTCAAATTGTTCGAATGTATTAAAGTTATCTATGCTTAAAAGACTTCCTGTCTGCTATACATTTCATAGTGAGCAATAATATGCCTGAACTCAGAGTAGACTCAGCCCCCCTGTATCTTCTGCAATCTTGATCCAAATCTTAAGTAAGCCTGAGGAGTAAATATACCCTAAAGTACCTTTTAGGTAGCATGTCACTACAGCGAGAAAGCTGACGATGTAGCAAAAGAAAAAAGGGTACACCCCAGAACCACCACAAAACCTAATTTTAAGCATCAAAAATAATTTTCCGGATATTTCCTTTAAAGAACATTATCGCTGTTGAATATGAAATCAACGTTGCCAACGTTACCAAGACTGCATGCTGTGTAAGGATGATGAAGAGATAACAACGATTGGACATCTATTATCGCAAATGTCCTTCGTTGGCGCGCTGGAGACTACAATTACTCCATTTCCAGTCTATGTGATTTTCAAAAATGTTGTATTGAACGTGCTATAAACAAACCAAGATGCAGCGGCTTCAGCATTACTTTCAATCGATGTGGAAGTTTTGAATATTGCTTTTGTAATAGAAAAAAACACAATTTTGAAAATTTTTAATTCAATATTTTGATTGGACAAATAATTGCCCCAAATTTTGTACTTCAAATCAATTCGCCCTGACTACAACTTTGACATATCAAGTTTCCAAAAAAGTTGCTTTGTTGTAATTTTCGCCTATGTGCTACCTGGTATTCTACCATGCCCAAATTTTGTACTTCAAATCAATTCGCCCTGACTACAACTTTGACATATCAGTTTCCAAAAAGTTGCTTTGTTTAATTTTAGCCTATGTTGCTACCTGGTATTTCTACCAGGGCTCAATTCTTGCTCTATGTTAAATGTCAAAATGAAAAAAAAATATATAGAAAATATTTTTCATTTATATTTTCATAGAACGAGAATCCAGCCCCAGTTTCTGTGTATGGTTAAACAAGTTAAGCCAATCCATTCGGACTTTTAGAAGAATTTAAGCCCTATTTGTTTTGGATTATCATTTTTAAAGAAGTGTAAAGGAATCACTATTAACCTACGATTTACAATTAAATCAAAGACCTTATTATTGACAATTTGTAAATAAATTAGAAAAATGTACAATACTTCAATTCATAATAGTTATATCTTGGAAGTATAATGGTTATTAATAATTACAAATTATAATCAAATAGCTAGATGATGAATAAAATTCTATATAATTTTATGAAATGGAGTTTTGTACGATATAAATAAGGAAATAAACTGAATATACTTACGGCCATTGATATTGATCTGCCATGATGAAGAAATCTTGCCAATGTCTTCTTTAGCCTAAATAAACACACACAAGTCAAGCAAAAAACTAGCAAAATAGCTACCAATAGAATTTTAGGAGCAATCTTGCAAATTTGTCTTTTACCTTTAAGGAAGGAGGAAGAGGACGATCACAGTATATCCAAATAGTTGGAATGGCCCAACAAGGCGTTCACAGTTTTGTTTCTCGGCTATCCAATAATATTCCGTTTGAGACGTGTTTTCCAAATATATAGGTAACTCTATTATCTATGTATGTTTCCAGAGGTGCTAGGTAGGTATACTTTTTTTTTTTGTATTCTTACTAACTAATCCTTGAGTTGAGTTAACCACTTAAACGATGATGATGCTCCAAATATTCAGTCTGCTATCCACACAACAGCCATAAAATAGAGTAGTTTTTCATTCTTTCGGAGTATGTCCAGTAGCCAATACATAAAAGAAACGACGACGACATCAATACACTTTCACAATTTTTTTTTACAGGATATATTGCCTCACCTTCAAGTTTGTTTCTTTTTTCTTTTGGAAAAAGAGAGCGCGTTTTGCTTTTGATTTTGGTAACTAGGAATCTTTTGGTTTGTTCAGTTCAGATGGCCGCCAGCGTTAAAAAGAAATCCACATTAATTGAGATATGGAAGTTGTTGGAAGGGGTGTTGATGTTGATGATGATGATGGTGGCGATCTATGTGGAAACTTCAATTTCAAAGAAACAATCGATACGATCTCACTTTGCTCTCGTTGTCACCGCCACGGCGTTTATCACATACATACGCTTTAGAGTTGGGAATAATTAACAAAAACAAGAATGAAAACTATAAAAAAAACGAACGACTTCCAAACATTCACATGTAGAGCTGGTGCTTAAACAAATATGTTATTATTGTTGTTGTTGTTATTGCCGCCGCCGCAGCTCGACTTGTATGTATAATAATATTTTGTAAGTTTTTTTCGTGATTTTGATTTTTTTCTTCTGTGGTACACGCATGTTACACATTATTATTTGATTACCTTTCATCTGCTGTAGGCTGCTGCGGCTGCCGATGATCATGTCTTCCGTTTCGTCTGCTGCTGCTCCTGTCTGTCCGACCGTGTTGTGGCGTGTAATTTGATAGAGTGCTGTCGGCGTTAATGAACTTATCTTGTAGTCTCCGTTGGACGATGACCAAAGACCGAACTTCTTTTTTTTTTTGAGTTTCTTTTGGTTTAGAATTTTGCGCACAATTATTCCAAAACTAAATGGCTGGAGTGTGAACAGGCATGTAGCCATGATTTCTTTGGATGTAAATAATTGCAGCTGATCAAAAACAATAGAAAATACTGACGGTCTGTATGAATGTATGTATACACGGCGGGCAATAGACGCTCTGAACGCTTTTTGTGATGGCTTAATTATATCGGCTATAAAAAAACAACACTAATATGTTGTTGTGTGTAGGTATACAGAAGATAATTGAGTGTTAGAGAGATGTCATCGCAGCATTATAAAGATGTTTCGTCGCGCTCTCTTCTTGGCTGGTACACACAATGATCTACGCTGAATGTTGTGCGCTCGCTCTTTCTGACTGCTGCCTGCCTGCCTGCCATCGGAGTGAGAGTATGTTTTGTTATGAATCTTCCATATTTTTTTTCTTTTCGTTGGTGTGGCCAGTTTCTTTACCCTCTCCGGTGTTGCGCTCTCTTTATAACCAGTTTTGTTTTCTTCATTTCATCTGAACTAATTAAAACATTTTCTGGCATCCAATTATCAACCTTGAGAGAGGGACGTCATCTCATCTGTAATTTAGGCTCTTTGGCATCCACCAGCTACTACTATCCAACCAGCTAGAGAAGAAATGAAGGCGTGACGTGACGGAGGATATTCAAAGATCGTCGAAATAAACCTGTTTACATTTTTTCGTGCTTCTTCTTTTGTAGGGTTGCCAATGTGCACAAAATAAAATGGCACATTGCAGGTAGATGTAAAAAAGGACAAATGAAACAAAGGAGATATCTAGAAAATGAATACAGTACATTTACATTTTACAGTCTGCTATGCATAAATGAAAAACGAAATGAAGTGCCGGCTGGTAGATGTGAAGGTGTATGCATGAATTACAACAACTAACAATTAAAGAAACAGTGTTTATGTTGATGAAAAATCATAATTTTATAAGACTTGTGCGTCTTTAAGCGCATTTTACACAAACAACATTGTTTTCAATGGAAAAGTTTTAAAGAATTAAAATTTAAAGATGCCCTGTTGCAGAACCTACCAGAATCTACAAGTTTTACAACTTTTTTCAATATCATAAAGGGACAATTGAATCTCGTAATAACATTTTTACATTCCGGCATGTTCTGCGACAGGCCAAACATGTAAAAAATGTCAATAACAAAGGAAAAATTAATTTTTGTTGTATTTTGTACATTATTATCTATCTAATAATATTTACACATCTTATCTTCTTTTTATGCCCTGCACCTTGAAAGGGAGGGTATATTAACTTTGTCATTCCGTTCCCATCCCAAAATATTCGTCGTAGACCCCATAAGTTATATATTCATGACACGCATAAAATTGTAAATCGATTTAACGATGTCCGTCTGTCTGTTGAAATCACGATACAGCCCACATAAATAAAAGTAGAGCTTTAAAATTTAGCAGAAGAATTTGTATTATGTCTAGGATGGTTGGTAATGAAAATGAGATACAACGGTCCACGTTTTGGTATAGTCGCCATATAACTGTACCCTCCCAATAATCGGTATTTTGATGATTTTCGCCGCATTCTTTCACGGATTTGTCTAAAAATCGGTATTTGCAGTTCGAAATGGGTTCAAGCTCCGGTGGCGGAATATAGTATAAATAGGTCTACGTTTTGGTATAGCCCTCATATTGCGGAACCTCACAATATTCGGTATTTTGATGATTTTTGCCACATTCTTCCGCAGATTTGTCCAAAAACTGTATTTGTAGTTCATAATGAGCTCTAGCTCCTGTGGCGGAACATAGCATGTATAGGCCTTTTCGTATAGCGCCCACATAATGTTACCTCCGGATATTCATTTGATAATTTGTGCCACATTTTTTTTCCACCGATTTGTCTAAATGAGTTCTAGCTCGCACATATGTCCATATATACCCAGTGATATTCGGTATTTTAATAACCCTAGTCACATTACCTACGAAATTCGTTCAAATTTGGTATTTAAGTAGCTTTGGGAAATGACAATCCTTGAAGTATTAAATTGTCTATAGAGGATTCCGTTTTGGCATGGCCCCCAAACAACGGGCTCACCCACATTATAGTTTTTTGAAAAGTTTACCAGCATTATCCAAACGGTCTTACTGATATGTATAGTTTAAAGTGGAACACATTTGAATTCAGATACTTTTATATTTTTTCTTCGGCCCCGGCCGTACTAGATTTTAAATAACTACGATTAATTTGTTGGTTGGGTAACTCCGACCTTAAAGACTGACTTCATATAAAACGTATTCAAATTTCTTTATGAAGGGTATATAATCTCCATTTTCATGCGATTAAGCCAAATAAAAAGAAAACTACATCCGTCTTCCTAAGATATGGAACGTCGAAAACAGTAGATAATATATTATTTTGTAAATATGTCACTTGTCATACGTAAATATTTAAAATTTATAAATAAATTTTATTAAAGAAAATCAATCGCAGTCATGTGACTGTTCATGGGACATGGCAACCCTATTTTTATAGTTGGTCTGTGATGGTATTTTGAGCCAACATTAATTAAGCCATTATGACTAAAAATAAAAACGCAACGCACTTTACTATTTGTTGTTGTTCTTCTTTTATATCTTCCTACAGATGGCAATACCACATTAAGATGTTACCATACTGAAACAAAAAAAAGATAACAAAAACCAAGCATCTGAACTTCAATGAACTAAAAATTCTTAAACAATTTCACTGATTCAATCACTTCGTTCTGGATCCCGAAATTAAAATTAATTTGTTTTTCCATTTGCCGCTCATCTATAAAATGTGTAAGATACGTAAGCTTCAGAAATATATTCGTGTTTTTTTGTGGAATTAGAAACTAACTTATAATTCAGCGAACGTAAACAAGCGATACACACACAACTAATAATGGGATGTTGTGCGTGTGTGGGTGTTGTGTAAGCCAGTCCTTAATTGAGCCATTATGCAAAGATGAAATTTTAATAATGGTTTTTAGGTTATGGCAACGCTGCTATGATATGGGTTGCCATAGAATAAAAACAAGTGAATTATTGATCCCGCACAGATTTAAAGGCCAATGTACTGGATGTCCCCTCCACATTCTTTGCGCAAAGTGTTATTGTGATTCAGAATTAACATGTATATTAAGGAAAGCAATGGT